GCAAGACGAGAAGCCTGAGAGTTAAAGTTGTATCGAGATCGGATACCAATACAATCAGACTTACTGGGGAGGGTGGCCTGAAATCAGGATGACTTGGAAAATTTTACGTTTAATATCTTTTCAAGGAGATCCTTAATTTGGGTTTCATGGGAAACGAGCAAGTCGCGGCATTTAAATATTGGAAAGGATATCAGGGCGTAAAGGATTTTAGGCATATTGAAATAGTTTTTTTATTAAAAAAAAATATTGATGGACGAGGAAGTAAATAATGTGTTTAATTTGGATAAATTGTTAAGGGATTTGTTCAATAGCCTTTTCACCCCCTATAGGTGATCCAAGATATGTCATTTCTTCTCTGTTGATGACGTGATATACCATGTCTAAGGGGATAGAAATGGGATTTAGGAAGCAAATCTCACATTTGGGGAGGTTGAGAGATAGTCCTGTAATATGAGAGAGATTCTCAATGATGAGGGGGGTGGACATGATTGTGGAGAGGTTGCCCGAGACAATGCCGTCATCAAGATACCAGGAATTTAAGGTAAGGATAGATTTAGATTGAATTTCCTGGATTATCTTGTGGATCCCGATGCAAAAGGGCTGGGCCTAAGGGGTCTCCTTGTTGAATTCCCTCTTGAGAGTCGATTATGTTATTATTGAATTTAAAAAAGTATGGCTCGAATAGCTGTTTAGGATGTAAGTAAGTAGAGTGTCAAGGAAGTAGTTTATACGATATAAACAAGATTTGGTTTATGAATGAAAACTAATGGAATATAGTAGTGATGAATAACGATAATTAACAAGATCAACAATAAATTGATAATAGGATTTGTTATGATATTAAAAAGAGATGATAAATAAATAAAAAGAGATTGACGTTATTGTATATTATGAAGTGTGGTTATTCGATAAATAATTAATAATATAAGTAAATATTATAGATAATTTATTTTTCAAGGGGGGGGGGGGGTTATAAAAGCCTTGGAATTAATATAGAAAATTGATTTTTTTATATTTTATTTTGTTTCATTTTTATTATTGTGTTCGTTGAACTTCAACTAAAATATATTAGTGAATCATATTGAAACCCATCAGGCATGAACAAAGGGTTGAAACAGTGATGATATAAAAATAATTTTGGAAAATTGATGACTCAGTAAAAATGGAACATTATGGGATTAATATTGCAAAAACGTTACTAATGATATAATGACATTTACATTGTAATTTGGTTTATGGGTTATTAATATGTATTTATGGTAATTTAGACATTTGGAAAGCGGTTATTGATAAAAGAACCTGACTAATTTAGATATTGGGAAAAGGTTACTGATAAGCGAACATGGCTAATTCAGACATTGTGAAAAGGTTACTGATAAAAGAATCTAGCTAATTAGGCATAATTATAAATTACTATGGGACTTTGGGCTAACAACTATAGTAATCATAGAGGTTGAATATGAGAATGAGTGCGGCTATGAATTAGCAACCAATGTCATTGGCCTCTACTAGGAAGATAATTAGAATTGATGTATTCATCTAAGATACTAGGGTTTAGTTGTCCATAAGATTCAAGTTAAAAGAAGATAGTCCATCGATGAGGGCCAGGCCAGTGACAAGTTATCATGTCTACCCAGTTAATGATAATTAGGAGGAATAGTGCGATAAAGAGGAAATTGGTGGGGGTGGTCACAGTTGCCTCCTAGTGGTGCAAGCTATAACGGTTTGTTCAAGGATCGTTCAACGCTTTGTGGCCTGTCCACGTGACAATTGATGACAAGGGTGGATGCTGAATTGGCTATGATAACCGCGATGCTGTCCAAATGATAATGGGATCCTCGAGGACCATTCAAGGTTTAAGGCCTTGAGACCATCCGAGGTTTGCAACTGCACCATGATGTTTTGGATTGGTTAAAGGAGGTGTGGAAACGATGTAATGATTAGATATAGAAGACGGGGATAGATAGTCAAGAATAATAGGCTCACATTATATGATTTTGGAATGGAGGAAAGTTTGAGAATGATTGCTGGGTATTTGGGATGAGGATGTTTACGATTGTATTATTCTAATGTAATTATAGGATATAGATGATTAATATAATTTTTATAAATGGTTTATTTGATTGCAATAAAGAATTACATGAAGTTCAAGTTATATATATTGCTACACCACATTAAGAAATTTTTAAAATTTTTATAAGGAATATCTTTATCTATAAATTGTCGAAATCTACCATATTCATTTAATTTGAATTATTGGCAGATTCTATTATTTGTTTTTCGACATATCAATCTAGGTTCTTATGTCATTTTATATAAAATATATAATCGGAAAGAATTTCTAAAATAATTTAGAATTTACTCAAGTCATTTTATCCTTTTTAGAGTTGACTCAAAATTTCTTAAAAATGGAACAATTTTTTCACATTTGGTGGTGAAAATCCCTCTATAATTTAAATAAAGTAGAAATGGTGGCGGCTTATAAAAATTTATATAAAAATAAAAAATTGAAAGAGAAATTGTTTTTCTATCTTCTATGTAGTTATATAAAAAATATTTCTGCCTATATAAAAATATTCCTTTTTAAAACAATGATAAGTAGAAAAGTGATTCAAATTTTGGCGGAGAAAGGGGCTCAACCCCAATTCAAAATAAAGATATTTTCAAAATTTAAAAAAAAAAACCTAATATAATTTTAATTAATTGTAAAAAAAATAGCAAGAAAGCTTGTAATTTTTATGTTAGGCCATTTCCAGACAGAACGTTTTTTAAATTGGTTTTTGGGTGTTACCAGCAATCAATTTTTTATTTCTAAAAAAAATGTTAACTTATCGAATTAATTTTTTTTATATTATATATTTTTAAAAAAAAACAATCTAGATCCCCATTTTTTTAATCGTTAATAGCCAACAAACTGGTTTGATTTTAATAACGATTAATTCTCTTCTCTTCCGTTTTGAAATGTGGGTCAGGATTGTTTATTAAAAAAAATATATATTATATAAAAAAAATAATTCTAGAATTTATAAATAAAAAAAAATTGCTGGTAACATTACCCAAAAACCGCTTTGAAAAAACATAATGTCTGGAAATGGCTTTAAAAAAGTTTTTTTTTTATTTCTAAGGTTATTTTTTACTCAAATTATTTGATTCTTTTCTTACTTGAAAATAATTTAATTTTTGTAAAAGATGTTTTACCTTCAAATAATTTGTTTAAAAATTCTTTTACTTCAAAATATTATATATTTTTAAAGGTTAACTATTTGTACATATGTAAATAGACAATTAAAATAACTGTATATATGTTAGACGAATTGTAAATAAAAAATTAAAAAAATAACTTTATTGATAAACTTTTTAAAAAATTAACTTAATTTATCTTCATCCTTCAGTTGCTGGCCTTCCGTAGGTTTATTAGTATAGAAAATCTTATTATATCATTTATTTTTAATATTATAAATGACTAAATAATTATCTAATATATTTTTATTTTGTGAATATTATAATATAATAAATTTTATAATTTTTTAAAATAAAATGTGTTTCTTCTTATTTCATTTTAGTTCGTAAAAATATTAATTGTCATATTTAAATTAAGTGCTTTAGCTTGATTCATCTTATTTATTTACATTTAAAATTACATGAACTGATCGTTGTTATATCCCCGTAGAACGTAAATAAGATTTAAGACGTGTGGTCCTAAAAAAGATCGTTCTGCAGAACAAGTACTTTTGTTAGTAGTTTTTTAGGGTGCGTCCTAAGTCAAAATTATATTAAAATAAAAATTAATTTATAATTGAAATTTACGAAATCGATGGGTGCATAATGTAGAAATGCGAATCATTTATTTTAAAAAATTTTTTGACTTTGGAAAACAGATTCTCATTTGATATTATCTAAATATATTATGTTAGAAATATTCTCCCCTCACCCCACCAAGACTCACTCTTGAGTAGTGATGGTAACGATAAATTTTAAATACCTTTCATTTGATACCCCTTTCAAGATATTTCTTTATAAATATACCTTTCCCTCCTAAATAGAGTGTTAATTTTAATTGCTTTAAAAAAATCTTATTAGCCCTTGTGAGGATAATTTTTACACCCCTCCTCCTCTCATGATCTCAAAATGAGAAGAGATATTTTAACAAATTTTTAACCCTCCACCTCTCTCAACATAGACCAAAACGAGGCCCTCGTGTTGATTTTAATAATTCAATAAATCTTTTTATTATCTTTCATTTGATATCATTAGCCAATAGATACATTTTATTGTCATTTGCTTAAACCTCGGCTAAGTCGTTTTAATAGGCTCGAGTTATCATCATGTACGTACCATCATTATGGATGAGTCCCCCATAATAATCTTTAATGAAAATTTCAATATCATTTGCGAATCTGACCTTCTGAAATTCGCACATATCGTCAGCCTTCATTGTTTTTATTGATTTTTAAAAGACGTTTCTTAGGATCTTACACAAATAAAAAACCGTTATTTTTTTTCTCCCATATTAAAAAATACCAACAATTATATTGTTCTAAATAAATTATATTTTTGAGTAATTAAAAATACATTTGAATGGTAAAAAGGCGTTCATAATTTCAAAAGTACATTATCCATAAATATTGTCATTTTTTTGGTAAAAATAATAGAACTTGATTCATAAAAAAAGAAACTTTTATAATAGATTAGGGCTCAATGAAGATGTGAATTTTTAAAAAAACTTACTTTTTTGAGGGAAACAAAATTATTTTAAACATATTTCAAATATAGATTTATATATAAAAAAATATTTTGATGCATGAATATGGATATTTACAAAAAATATATTTATAAAAAATTAAAAAGCCAATAATTACATGACTATTAAATAATAATGGTAATAGTGTTATAAACTAAAATTATTTATAGTTAAGCTTTTTTTTACACAAGTAAAAAAAAAAATTAAAATTGAAGCAAATTTTTATTATAATAAGTATATTATACAAGATATAAATTAAAATAATTTATTGTAAGCGAAATGGCGATAAAAGCTAAAATTTAAAAGGAGAATAATCACTAATTTTCACTTTTTAAATTGGCACCTAAATAAAGTTTTCTTTTTAAAAACCAACAAAAAAAGAGTTTCATTTGTTTATGAAACATAATAATTAAAATGGTTAGTTAATTTTTTATACTTTGTGTTTTGTAGTTGTTTTCATGGTAATCTTTATAAAAAAACAAGACATTCAATCGTAAAAATATATAGAAAGAATCTGAACCGTTAAAAGGTTAAAATATAAACAATGAAAGATATTCAGTATGTTTTTATAACATATACCGAACCCTAAAGAGATTATAATCATGATAATAACATAATATGGGGAGATAAAAAATGTATTATATTATTAAATATTTTTTATGAGACAAATGCCAGCTAAAATGAGTTATAAGGCCAATAAATTTATCTATATAATATATTTTTTAGAAAAATAGTATAGTATATAATATTTTGTATGTCCAAAGAGGAGAATATCCGGCGTAACGCTAAAAAATTTTTTTAATAAAAACCAAATGTACATAAAGATATATATAATTTCTTAAAAAAGAAAGAAAGAATATTCCTAATCCCTCCCCCTTTCTTTATTCCAAATAATCTGTAATTAAGATTTAAATTAACAAGTTTACAAAAAAAGTTATCTTTCATATTTCTTTTTAGAATAAATTCAAAGAAATAAAAAAACAAGTGTCTATAGTAAATTAAAATTAATTTTGCTCTATCCACATTTGGGCACCAGTAATTTATTATAATCGTGTTTGAATTTTTAAAATACATTGATAAAACAGTTTTACAAATAAAAATCGACTTATATGTTTTTTCTACATATTTATAAGGGGCTTGTGATAATAAACAACTGATAAAGTGTAGAATATGGATTATCTCAATTAATTCAGCAAACTATTCATACTGATTATTGTATAAGAGTGAATTCAAAGCATGGTCCTAGCTAAAATATTAAGTCAGTCGTTTTTAAAAATGGGCGAAAATCGAATCATTCAACAACACTAATCGTGATATAAATTTAGTTATTAATATTTTTTTCAGGTATATGTTTAGATAAAGTTGTAAAATAGTATTGTGGACGCAATCTTTCCCACCCTAGACAGGTCTTATCTGCAACACTGGCTTCTTTGGACTCAATAGAATCTATACCAATATATATAAAAAGATTTAACCTTTCCTCCACAAATAAAAAACCAATTTCTCTCCGTATGTAGCCCACATGTTTGCTAAATTAAGCATTAATTGCATCAGAATTCTTAAACACTAAATTTTTCTACTAAAAGAGTAAATATTTCAAAGGAAAATATCGAAAGTAAATATTTTTAAGCTAAATTACACAATATCACGAGGAAACAATATAAGCATTATGCAAATTCTATATAATTTTAGGACAAAACTGTCATCTGGTCAATCTCAAGGAGAAGCTCAATTTAGTGCAGGATCCCTATCCCCAGAAATAAGGGGGAAATTAATTTCGTCTTCTCCTGCAACGTTTAATGAATATGTCCAAATGGCTGAGGAGTCATTCCATGTCAACTCAAATAGCTTTCTGCTACCTCATTTCAATTCGATAATAATTTGTAGGCATTTAATTTTTAAAATGACTTTATGTCATTACAAACGTAATATTAAAATCAATATCTGAACTCCATACTCCAATCAACTTCCATACTATGACAAACTCCGTTTTTAACTGTTATACCATAACCAAGCTACTGCTAAACCATACAAACCAATATCGTGCTCAATGAACATATAAAAACCCAAATACCATATGTTGTAACTGTAGAAAGATCATTCAAATATATTGACCAAAATTAAATACTTTTTCTAATATCCCCATAAAACCAAGTATAACTCTGCCCTAATAATTGCAAATACACCAATTGAAGTGTACACCAGCGTTTCAGTGATAGTTATGCCTCCCAATTTTCCGATATCCCTCTTATTTAATAAAATACTATTAGGTCACAACATAAAAACGTTAGATAAGGCTAAATGTGTGGATAAAGTATAACAATCATTTGCTTTATAATTTCGAAGGGACCTACTACAAATATCTATAAAGATATTACCTTTGCTGTTCTATTCTGGTATTACAATACATTAAAATTAGAATAGATTTAAGTCCATCAAGTCAACTTAAAATTAGGGATTATTTATAAAGCAAAATCAAGAATATCCTTAAAACAGAGGAACTAATTCTAAAATAAAATCCTAGTTTCACTCTTATATGTATTTGCCAAATATCACACTGGGCAATAAAATATATCTCACAAAAAACTTTTGCCAATCTGTACTTGTGATGCTTTATTTCTAATTTTTTATTAAGAAACTTTTAGGTAAATGATTGTGACATATCTCGATAAGTAATTACCCCCCCCACCAACGAAGGGCATTAAATAATGTTGAGTTGTGTGCCCTAATTTATACCCAATTAATATTCACGAAGAACTACAGTAGACCGAGCAGACTGTATACGTGATTTTCCAAAAAAGAAGAGGAGCTTAGTCTGGGATGTGAACATTATCTTGCCACACAGACTAAAACTCACGATTACAAATTGCGGGTTTTCCAATTCAAGGCTACTTTTGAGAGAATGACTTTAAAAATATGCCTGTTGTTATATGCTTTTTTTGCTGAGAAATTTATTGCTAGGGTTAATCATGTTATATAGAATTGTCACTCATCTGTCTAATGTCGTTTATTTCAGTGAGATCAACTAATGACACCTTAAATTTTGGGGTAATAAAGCTAATTTAGTTCTTTAAAATACCCGAGGAAAAATTAGAAGAAAAGGGGGATGAGATATTGAAAAAAAGAGGATAACAATTTTTTTTGTAAATTTTATACATTTTTTATCTCGTTCAATATATTTTTTTTTAAATCTTCGATAAAAAATAGTAGACTGAGAAGAATTAACACAATGACATAGATATTATTAACTCCTCAATTTCTCACGATAAGCAGAAGCCAAATAAAATTTATTCGATAATATATATTTGTAATATTTGCTATTGTTATTGTGCATAATACAGTAGGGGAGACTGGGGTTAGGTAAACCCCGGGGCTTGGCAAACCATTTAATCTCATTTTAAAATTTAGTTTTTATTAGTTTACATCTATAGACAAAAAATCTTTTGAAATAATTTTGAAAAGATTTTACATGACAGAATTTTAATTTTTATTAAAATATTTAATCATTTATATGTAAATTAAATTTTACAGTAAAGTTTAAACACTCTTCTATAATTTGGTAAAGTTTCATGAATATCTATTATGTCTATATAATATTTCAATCATGATTAGTAAATTTAGAACTAGCGGGGCTTGCTAAACCATTCATGTCAATCCATTTGAGATTTTTTTAGTAATTATTACATTATTCAATATGGTAATACGAATCCAAAAAAATAAATAAGGGTCTATCATTTAATATTGATAATTATTTAGAAGTATATTAAAATTTGATGAATTAATATTGTAATGTAATTAGGCTATTAATTATGAAAAGGTAAATCAACAATCACTAGCCAACTTACAGGTAAATTTATCTACATTATCTGTCTTATTTTTAAGATATAATCACAATAATTTTATGTAATTTTTAAACAATAAAATATAATTTTAGCAAAATTTAATAATAGAAATTATGTAAATATTTTTATTAAATATAATTTGTAAAATGATCTTATATTTTAGATTGATTAAAATTATGATGAAGTATAGTATTATTGTATTAATTTTATGTAATTCTAAAACAATAAAACATAATTTTAGCAAAATTTAATAATAGAAATTATCTAAATATTTTTATTAAATGTAATTTGTAAAATGATCTTATATTTTAGATTGATTAAAATTATGATGAAGTATAGTATTATTGTATTAAGTTTATGTAACTCTTAACCCTTTCGGTCGCGGTAGTGCAAATATAAAACCACCTTTTAACCTTTATATCTTCTAAAGGAGTTAATCATATAAAATGAAACCACCACGAATATATATTAAAAGATATTCTTTTTCATATGTTTGTGGAGGAGTTATTTTTTTATTTTTTTTTTCGCGCCTTTATTTCAAAATACGTTTTTTACGGTGATTTTTCTTAAAATTCCAATTTTAATTAAAAGTAAGTATATTTATCAAATATTTTTAAATGTATATATTCCTCACTATTTTATCTATCTTTCTAATATTTATTTTTGCTCAAATAAATAATATTTATATATTATTTTGATCTCTTCAATGTGGTATATTAAACTAACCACTGCCACTTAACAACAATATTTTTAATATTTATTTTTTTAAATAATTGATAAATTTTGCCAACTCATTTCGCAATAATTTTAGCTTGTTATATATATGGATGATTATCTGGACATTCCATCTGAAGGTTCTTCGTTAGACAACTCATCCACTGATTCCGAAGATGATTATGAATCGGATACACGTTACCAAATTGATAGTGATGATTATGAATCGGATACACCTTATCAAATTGAAATTGATCGATTTAAAAAAGAAAGGTATATATGCTACCGGAACACTAAACAAAAATAGGAGATCCTTGCCTATAAAGAATATGGAAACAAAATTAAAAAGAAGTGAGTTTGACTGGAGAAGTGACAAAAATAATATAAGTATAATTAAATGGCGAGATAATCGTGACGTATTTATAATGCCCAATTATATTGATCCGAGATCAGTGGATACTGTGAAGAGAAAAAATAAAAAAGGGGAAGTATTTGACGTAAAATGTCCAATAATGATAAAGATGTATAATAAATATATGGGGTCTGTTGACCATTTCAAGTCTTTATATGAAATTTCGCGAAAGTGGCGAAAATGGTGACTACCAATATTTTTTTGGCTGATAGATGCGGCGATTATCAATTCATTCATAATATACAATATTCTTACAGATAATAAACTCTCATCGAAAGAATTCCGAAGACAAATAATTGCTAGCGAATTGGCATACTGTAAAAATGTTAATAGGGATGATAATATTCATAATGATAATAATTATATATCAATGCAAAGAAAAAATAATAAAGCTTATATCCTTCCAGAAATTAGACTAAAAAACTCAGCTCATCAACCTCAGGCAGGAACCTCACGAAGGTGTACCTTCTGTAGTACAAAGTTAAATCCCAGAAGAACAAGGTGGTCGTGCAAATCATGCAACGTACCACTATGTCTAAATAAAAATAGAGACTGTTTCGAAAGTTTCCATAAGGTGTCAATGATATGAATTTGAAACCACCAGGGAGAGCCGCCATTTTGAATTTAAAAAACTTTTTTTGTGTGTTTTATATTATATTATACTAGAATCAATAAAAAAATTACTAAATATCGTGTTGCAACATATTAATTTTATGAGGGAACCTAAAGGGTTAAACAATAAAATATAATTTTAGCAATATTTAATAATAGAGATTATGCAAATAAAAATCTAAATTGTAATGGTAAAGAGATTATCTAAATTTTATGTTCTTAAATTTTAAAGTTATAATTAAATAATTTTATATTTTATTTGACATTTTTATTTTAGGTATACCTTGATCAAACTTTATGAGATATTACAAGAGATATCAAGAAAGTGGCACACTTACTAGTGTAGGACAAAACAATAAACAGAGGATATCCACTGAAGAAGAAGAGGGAAATATAATTAAATATCTGATCCAAGCTAGCCAAATTTGTTATGGCCTTTCAATTAAAAATGTATAAATTTATTCTTCATTATTATATTGTATTTTAGATAAAAATATTAGCCTAACAAATGGCAGTAAATATGAAGAAAAAATTTCCTAAATCTTGAAAGGAAAATTCAATGCTGGCCATGACTGGTACTTAGGATTTATGTTAAGAAATCCTACTCTCTCCTTAAGGTCCCCTGAAGCTACTAGTAAGGGCAACTAGATTTAATGAAAAAATGTTCTATACTTTTTTTATTTATATAAAAGTTTATTAAATGATTGTTAAGTAAATGTTTTACATTTAATATTTAGGAATATTAGATGAACATAAATTAGAATGTATGGCAATTTACAACATGGATGAAACTGGACTTAGCACAGTTCAAACCCCATCCAAGATAATTACACAAAAGGGCCAAAAACAGGTAGGATCTATGACTTCTGCAGAAAGGGGTATACTAGCCATAAATGCAATTGGCCATACAATTCCTCCAATGTTTCTTTTTCCCAGAAAAAAATATTATGATTATTTTGTTAGAGATGGTTCATCTGGCTCTATGGTATCAAATGGTTGAGGATGGATGCAAGAGGAGGATTTTATTATTTTTTTCAAACATTTTTTTAAACACACTCGGTGTACTCCAATGTCCAAAGTTTTATTGATCCTTGACAATCATATATCACATCACTCCTATTCAGCTGTCAAATTTTGTATAGATACGGGAATAATTATATTATCTTTGCCACCCCACTGCACCCATAAATTACAGCCTCTTGATCGGTCTGTTTTTAAGCCTCTCAAAAAATATTATACAGGAAAATTATTTACAATTTATGATATTCCCCCTGTTATTAAGGATGTCTTGCCTTTAGCAGCATCACCTCTCAATATAGCAAATGGTTTTAAAGTATGTGGAATATATCCACTGAATATAGATATATTCAAGAAAGAATATTATATTGCCTCAGTTTATGGGGATTCTATATGTGAACTTCCTAAAAGCCCAGTATTAGAATCAAGCTCGGTATCTTTGGTATAGAAAGATATTCTAAATATTAATAGAACCTTAGATATATGTAATGATGCTCCATCTACCTCTTATGCTCATTTAGATAATATTCCTAGTCCATCTAGCAATTTATCAATACCCTTGCCTTATCCCAAATAGGAAAGAGTCAAGAGAGTGAAAAGAGGAGCAGAGATATTCACATAATCTGCATATAAAAAGAAATTAATCGAGAAAAGAAATTGATGGAAAAAGAAAATATTGGCAAGAAAAAAATAGTAAAAAAAATTATTCACAAAGATATTTGTATTTGTTGTAAGCTTGAATATATAAAACATCATAATGGAGAAGAGTGGTACTAATGCAGAATGTGCCATAGATGAGCACATGGTACATGTTCAAAATTCAATAAATTTTTTATATGTTCAAATTGTTTATTAAATTAACAAAAAATAAGTTTCAATTTTATATACAATTAGCTTTAATTTATAAGTATTATGTATTTTGAACAATGAAACAATAAAATTATTCTATACGTATAATAAATAAAAATATATTTCAATTTATTATGGCCTATAAAAACCAATGGTTTAGGAAGCCCCTTGAAGTGGTTTGCTTCACCCCGCTATTGGGGCTTGTTGGGAAAATTTTCGACTTTTACAAAAAATAAAATTTGAAAAAAATGATTATATTCTTGAAATTTTTTATAAGGCACCTTTATAGAATATAGTTTTAGGTATCTAATCATATATTGCTTTTTATATTATCTAAAAAAAAACCAGGAGTTATAGCCTTCTTTGTAAAAATCGGTTTAACTAACCCCAGTCACCCCTACGCACTTTTTTAGGAGAAACGAATTTGCTAGGGCTGATAAATATTTGTAAATGAATTTAATATTTGATATAAACAAATCGGTTGAGCACGAGGCTTCTAACCTAGAGGTCGTAGGTTCAAGCCCCATGTTAGGCGCCAGTGTTGTAGATTGTTGCAGTTCACCATAGACCTGTCAAGGATCCATAAAGATGTTTCCGATTTTTAATATTATTTTTGGATTAGTCAATATTGAGTTAGATCAGTATCAGCTAAAGAAGGTATCAGTGTACCTCAGATTATAAATTTAGGTAATCTGCAAACATCACTGTCTGAAAATTTTGAGGAGTACCAACATATAAATCCATAACTGATGGTTTTGCAATTGTCATAAATAAATTTAATCTGATATCAGGGCATATTCATATTCCAGATGCTCTCCCAAATTCAAGAGGGGTTTGTGACACTGTAAAAAATTTCCAAATGATTCTAACTTACTATGTTATGCACCTGGTCTTTAGAATAACTTTTAATTTATCGAACAACTCATGAGGCGAAGACAAGCATTTATCCCCAATATTATCGATCACCAATATGCAGGAGAGACCGGGGCAGAAGGGCAAGAAGGGAAACAAAGCTAAGGCCAATAAATTTTTAACCATTTTTGCTAAATAACTTAAATTTGTTTTTGCCTTTGTTGTCATATTACTTTAAGCATTTCTTGCAAATAAGTTTTTTTTAGAGATATTATTTATTGTTATACTATATGTTTTAAGTGGTCCGGAGTGAAGTATTTCAGTGTATCACCCATATAGGCATATTTAAGAGTTATGATGGATGATGAAGATATCTATATTATTAGTTTTAGTTTAAATCAAACTTTCCCCTTAAGCTATAAAATTTTAAAAAACAGATTAAAGCCTTTATTTTGAAATTAAAATAAAAGAGGTGAACACCATTTAACAATTATAATGTAAAAATAACTGTTAATTACTAAAAGAAATTTATGAAAAATACAGAAGGGTCTTATTAATTTGTCCTTCACATAATATTAAATATATTTTTGTTAAATAGCAATAAAAATGTTTTAATTGTTATCTATATTCACTTCAATTTTGTAAAAGAGATAAGTATTAGTGAACTTATTTTTGCAATTATAATTCTTTAAAATCTTTTTAAAGTATCAATTAGATTAATTTAGAAATTGTTTTTGACTTTAAATTAACTTTTTTAAATGGCTCAGACCTGTTTTTTTTATTATGCCTATCCATAACCTAAGCTACAAATAAAGAACCTGTAGCAAATTTAATTTTATATTTAAAAATATTTTATAGTTGGTAAAGCTCCTTTTCCATATAATGGATATAGCTCCTAAAGCTAAACTCCCAAAAAATGTATTTTGATACCTTTCACCCTTTCTCTTCCAGTATTTTGATAATTTATATAATCTGGCATTTGTTCTTCCTCTTCTTTCTGACGGCGAGGGCGGCTCTGGTAGCTGTCTCGAAGACTTCCCTGACGCCCTCTTTGGTTTTGGCAGAGCATTCGAGATAGGCGAAAGCGTTAATTTTTTCGGCCATGGCGCGGCCTTCCTCGGCCTTGACGGGCTCTTGTTTCATTTTGCAGAGTTCACGTTTGGTGTTCTCGTCATTACGTAGGTCCTTCTTGTTGCCAACCAAGATTATGGGCACATTTGGGCAAAAGTGTTTCACCTTGAATTTCAGAGGGAAAGATTTTAAAAATGAATGTTATAATATATAAATTATTTGTAGGCTGCACCAATCTACTTTTGAGATATAAAATTAACCAATCAAGACAAAACCGATTTCGATTTTTATATCGATTCATAATTTTAATTATTATCATCATCTTACTTATTTTACATGAATAAACCCAAAATAAATGTTCTTTATATTTCATATAGAAATTTATACAAATCTTAAATTTTTGGTTAAAAAAAGGTTTGAATATTGTTTTTGTGCAAATCTAGTTTTTATTATATGTTATTTTATAAATAAAAAACCAATATCATATAGTTTTTTTTATTATTAAACACATGGTTAAAATTAAGCCTCTAATATTAAAATTTAATAAAGAGCCCAATAAAATATTCACTACATCGTTTAAGTAATTTAATATATTCAAAAAAAGAATCTACAAACTCGATGAGTGATACATAATCTATTAATATTTAAATATTAATATTTTATCTCAGATTTAAAATATTAATATACCTTTATTGCATATACTATTTCAAATAATTTAACAATAAATTTTTTTTACAAGGTATAATAATTTTATAATATTAAAATATATATTACTCATGTTATAAAAAATTTTAAATGAACAAAATATATTTTAAAATTAAAATTATTTTTATGGATAATCTCAATCTGACAGGTCATGTGATTAAAGAAACCCCAATATAAATTCAAACAAATTATCGTCGTTGATGAGTGCTTATATTGTTTGTTAATTTCTTTATAATAATATAAAATATTAAGTAACAAAGCAAATAATAATTATTCCCAAAATTTATGTTTTTATCCTTTTATTACAAGGTATTATATATAACAAATAGTACAATATTAATATTACACCCCAGTATTAATATATTTATGTTTAAAAAATCTATTAAAATAGTTATTGGATTGGTTTTAAGGAAAGATTGACCAATCTGACCATTAAAAGTAAATATATATACCATCCCACAATATTAATATCAGTGCAGTCCTAGTAGGGTAATTCCATACCAAATCGATAATTTTTCGGCCCTACCTTTTTTAATTTCGATAAAATTTTGTATGCTGATAGAATATCATTAGAAAGTATCGAATCCAAAATTTTAGCCTCCTAGTATTCATAGTTCCTGAGATATCAATGGTCTAAAGTGCCAAAAATGACCTTTTTTCGAAAAATACGATTTTTTAAAATGGAGATAAGTTAAAAAATAATGATTTTAAAAATATAGGTTATATGTCATTTAGTAACTCTATTAAAGGCCTTTTATTAAATATTAGGGATTTTTTTGAAATAATATTGTTGCGGTTTTTATTTACGTTATAAATTTTAAACATGAAAACTCCAGGTGTTTCGCTTTCCAAATTTTTTTGAATTTAATATTTTTTTATTCTCTAACCTTATATTATATCTATTCATAAAAAAAATTATAACTTGGGACAGCCATGGGTTTTTTAGGTATTACGATTTAAAAAATCAAAAAATAAATATTTTTATCAAAAATAGATGGTGCTCCTTTAGAAAATAACATGTTTTGTTGAGATTATTATTTTTTAAACTTTTTTTCATTTCTAAACATAAATAATAAGATTTTCCAGCATTATTATCATGAAAAAATATTATATATAGTTTGATAGGCTTACTTATTATTATTATATTGATAACTTGTAAAAATTGGTTGTTTTTATAATAAATGATTAAATTTCCTAAAAAGATAGTTAAGATTCCATATCTCCTACAAGAAAATATAATAATTAATTGTTGAAAGATAAAAGCAAGTTCTCGTGCACCTGCCCTAATATTAATTAATTTTTATTTTACAAATATTTTGATATTAATTATATTTCTTTTTAAAATTATTTATAATGTATAAATATAAATGCGTCAAATCCTTTTAAAAAATCTAAACACTTTAATTATAAAAAGAACCCGCGTAAAGTCATAACGTGGATGACACAATACCCAAACATTGAGGCGGAACACTATATTTGTGATAAATGTCGTAAACGGTTATCACAAAAAAATATTGAAAATATAACTATTCTGATAGCTAATATGTAAATAATATCAACACAGCATCAACATCAATAGATGCAATCAATATAACTTTAAACAAATTAGAAATCTCCTAAACAAAAAGAAAAAAATTATCTAAAAAAAAGGATAGCGAAAATATAAAAAGCTTATTTCAGATATAATAATTAACAATCCAGAATCGGGTACAAAGATAATAATGATATTACTTAATAATATGGAATTACAATATCCTAATTTATCTAAAAATAAAAAAATATCAATTGCTGACCATTCTGCCTCCTAATTGGAGCACAAATAAAATAAAAACGACATTCAACGCTACATAATCATATGGCATATAATTCCAAAATCTTTTTAGAAGAAAAGGGAATTCTTTCAACTCCAAATCGAAAGCCTGCAAAAATATCTCAATCAAAAAAAAGTTGATATTGTTAAAAGAATTTTGCAGTGATGAAGTTAGTAGGGTATTACCAGGAAAAAAAGATTGCATAATCTAGCATTGAAAAGGGAGGAATGAACGCTCAAAAAGGTTAGTTCTTAATAATTTGAAAGAATTATATAATCATTTTAAGGCGAGTAATTGTTTAACTAAACTCAACACTAAACTATATTCTAATTCGCAGACATTTATTGTGAAGAAAATAGTATATCCACGTGAGGATGCTTTGATTGAGGATTAATTAATCGATGAGATTAGAGGGTATGTAACATGTGCATATGAAAACGATTGGTGGTTAGGATTTGTACAAGAAGTGAATGTAATTAGAGATGAAGTAAAAATTAATTTTCTTCACCCTAAAGGACCAGCAAATTCTTTTGTTTATCTAGCTGGACAAGATATCCTTTTCATAATAATATTTTAACAATAGTTAGCCTATCAACGGCTACTGGGTGTACATATAATTTATCGCAACAGGAAATTATCATGGCGTCAAAAAAACTAAATTTAATGAAAACCCGAAAATAGGTAATATCTTTGATGAATTTTAATTTATCTATTATATCTACAAAATTTTCGAAAATTAAAATTTTTTATAAGAAAAAAATGATTATAACCGCAGCCAAATAATCTCATTTCATGATATTAATGATATAAAATCCTACTATATGTTTAAAAATAGAAAAAAGTTTAAATAAATAATAATCTCAACAAAACGCGTTATTTTATAATGGAGCGCCATCTATTTTTGAAAAAAATATTTATTTTTAACTTTTTTAAATTTCAATAACTAAAAAACCTATGGTTGTCCCAAGTTTAAATTTTTTTATGAATAGATATAAGGTTAGAGAATAAGAAAATATTAAATTCAAAAAAATTTTAAAAGCGAAACACCTGGAGTTTTCATGTTTAAAATTTATAACGTAAATAAAAACCGCAACAATATTATTTCAAAAAAATCCCTAATATTTAATAAAAGGCCTTTAATAGAGTTACTAAATGACATATAACTTATATTTTTAAAATCATTATTTTTTAACTTATCTCAATTTTTAAAAATCGTATTTTTCGAAAAAAGGTAATTTTTGGCACTTTTGACCATTGATATCTCAGGAACTATGAGTACTAGGAGGCTAAAATTTTGGATTCGATACTTTCTAATGATATTCTATCAGCATACAAAATTTTATCGATATTAAAAAGGTAGGGGGGAAAAGTTATAGATTTGGTATGAAATTACCCAGTTATTTGAATTTATTTGCTGGGTAATAAAAAAATTTGATATTGCTTTATTAATATAGTTATTTAATAGATGTTCTAGAAATTTTTTTTAAGGGAACTTTGATTTTGCTAAGAATAAAAAAATATGTAAGAATTATGTGATATATGATATATAGCACTTTTGTCCTCTAATGTTGAAGGTTCAACAGAGCTATGCTAGGTTTTCCTCATTTCCATCTGATTGGAACAAATTTAATTCAGGTGAAAAATACAAATATGAGGTGCCTCTACAGAGCGAGGCAAAAAAAGCCTATGCCCAAGAACTATAGTATAATTTAATTACTTTAAGGGTGGGAGGTGGATAATTTTAAGTTTAAAATATCTTTGTGTGAATACTGGTTGATTACAAATCAATTTTGAGAAGATTTACTGTATTTGATTACTTTATATATTGATATGTAAGAATTGATTTAAAAATAGTTTAAAATAGAGGTCCACGAAGGGTAAGTTTTAATTCAAACCTGCTTCAAAAAATTTATATTTGGATTTTTTTTAATATGCAATTAACAGTATAAGCTAGATTTGTTTAAATTTAATTTTTTCCCTTTAATATTGCATATTTTTAAATCAAAATTTATTTTAAAAATAGTCTTTTTTTTTAAAAAAAACCAGTGGTGGGCATGTTAAAATTTTTAAAAATAAATGAGCAAGTAAACCAACCCATTGCAGGCCCCTAGTTTAAATTTCCCAAATTTTTATTGTGAATATATAAAATGTAAGTTTAAAGTTGCATATTATTTTCTTTAAGATATCAATAAAGAAAATTATAAGTGAAATATTGTAAATTGTTTATCTTCAATTAAGAGATAAAAAATTTTATGAATGTAATATTAAGAAGGAAAATAGGAAGACAATAATTTGATTCTAACCACATAATTTAATATAAAAAATAATTCATCCCATCTTGTTATGTATAACTATAAAAAATGAATTCATAATCTGTAGTTCTAAATACTTTTTATAAGATTCATAAAAATTTAAACAAGGGTGTTGTGTGATTTGAGTCCCTGAAGTTTCAAATTCTGTTAGATGCAATTATTCACTTATTAAACCATTAAAATAAATTATAAACATTTTGGATAAAAATTATAGAAATTTTAGACATTAAAAGCCCCCCCCCCATTAGTAAAGTGTATCAACTCCCTAATGTGCAATTGTTGGAAAATTAAAAAATGATAAATATCTTTTTGATATATGATTGGTACATTAACAGAAAAGGATTTTTTTAAAAAAAATTATAATATCACATCTTGGTAATAAACAAATAGGCAAACAAAAGATAGTAGTTTGAATTTAAATAATGTTATTTGTTTAAATCTTAAAATATTACGTGTTTCAATATTTTTAAAAAAATAAAATATAAACATTTAATATTCTGTTTACTTCATGAGAACCTTTTTAAAAAGATTGGTCTTAGATGAACATTTCAGTATCTTAAAAAAGGCTCCTACCTGACAATATATTTGGTAAAATAATATCAAATGTGATTTAACCAAATTTTTTTAAAAAAATTAATCCAAATTTTCTATTGCAATAAAGCAATTTTGTTGTTATCTGATGATACATTTTGACACTTTCCATCTTTCCCTAGCCAAAAAAATCAATTAAAATATTGGATATGGAAAATGATTATTCTTTTTATCAATTATTATTTCACCAAAATTTGTAGTAGAACATTTTATATAAAAGAAAAAGTAGCATAATTTTATGTTTAAACAGGCATTCTGTTTTAAAATTTGATTATTAAATTCACTAATTTGAGGCTTATGGTGAATTAATCTTTAAAACATCTTATATTTGATGCCATCATGCAATTTATGATAAAAATATAAAGCTATATTCAATTTCATTTAAAAATAATTTTAACAGAAATTTACATATAAATTTTTTATAGAAATAGTTAAAAATTGAGTGGTACAGAGAATAAAATAAATAATTTTTATAAGCTAAAAATGATTTAAAAACCACATTATATCCAACTTACAAAGCAAGGCAGAATTGTGTAATAAATTTCCTACTAATTGATAAAATATGAAAACCTCAGGGGTCCATTTTTCAGGTATATTTTCAAGTGAATCTGGACTGTCTATTGAGAAACACATTAGTATAACATCAGTGTCTGGATATGATAAAGGTCTTAATCTATCATAATCTTCTTGACCAGCTGTATCCCATAAAGCTAATTCAACCTTTATAATTACAAAATTTTATAAAACATATGAACTTTATAATAAATGTAATTGTATACATTACAAAAAATTATGATAAATATAAGAGTTTTCCAAAAAATAACTTGTTTCCCATCTACTTCTATATCAGCAACATAGTTTTCAAAAACTGTGGGCACATATACTTCGGGAAATTGATCCTTACTGAAAACAATCAAAAGGCAAGTTTTACCGCAAGCACCATCACCTACAATGACTAACTTCTTTCTAATGGCAGCCATCTAAATTATATTTAAGTAATGAGAATAATGATAGCGCATACCTTATTTGTTTTTATATAACGATTATCAGAAATTTATCCTACTTATCTCTTTTTTTAACAATAACATCCAATATTTAATAAATAATTAAAATGTAATTAAATTTTAAAATTAGGCAAAGGAGTTATCTTCAAAATAAAATACATAATGAAATAATAAAAAACTGAAGCCTATAAATCATTTCTGTTTATAAAATAAAATATAAATATACATGATTATCTAAATCAACTTAGTATTCTTGTTACATTATTGTAATTCATATTCTAATCCATTTATTTAGTGTTGTTAAAAAGCCCGATTTGGGTCTATTTTTAAAAACGGCCCGATTTAGATTTTAGCCAATATAATATTGTGTAAGTCTTAAGATTTGGTTAATGCAAGCCCAAATCTTTCAGCTATTTATGAGCAAAATTATCAGGCTTACACAATATTATTTTGGTTAAAATCTTAAAAAGGCCGTTTTTAAAAATCGACCCGAATCGGGCTTTTTAACAACACTACATTTATTGATATTCCCATGAGTTAAATTTTCAGGAGTCTTATATAACATCAAATTTATTAGTTCCAGGCATATTCTGCTGAACGAAGGTACGAGAAGGTGGCAATCAGATATAATAAATTTACCCCCATCCCCCTGATATTTATATAAAATTATCAGAGTCCCTCCCTAACTTCAGCAAATTCTAGAGATAAATTTTACTTAACCAATATTAAATCCACCTAAGAGTTCTATCCTTTAAATATTTTTGAAAATCAGGCCAATACATTATTTAACACATTTCGGGTCACCGTTCGTTACATTATTTTAATTGGGGACACAGCAAAGTTTTAGTGCATCTAATTAAAATTATCTATCACTATCCATAATATCATGCATCTACAACAGATATTCATCCAAATTATTTTTTTTAATAATTTGAAAATCATTTAGTTATTTGGATCCTTAATTATTAGTTTTTACCACCCCCAAAGCTGTCAAATTTATTTTGTTGAATTTTGATATATTATTTTTCCTGAAGTAAAGTCTTAAAAATCGTCTTCAGGGGCGTCGCTAGCTTTAACAATCTCAGGGGGCTCAACTAATAAAAAATTTATGGGGGACTTCGCCCCCCATATCTCCCAATGGGTTTTATATTTATATATTATACTTTTTAAAATTTGTTAACTCTGAACAATTATTCTGTATTTCATATTTTGTCATTTATTAAATTATGCATACAAAATGAACTGGCATATAAATAATTAAAACATACAAGACATTTCTAAAAATAATTTTTTTTAATAAAAAATCTATTTATTACAGTATAAAATATTTTTGATTGCTGATATAAAAAAATTTTGCGTCTAAAGAATTACAAGTCATAAAAAAAGTTAATTAATTCATACAAATGCCTCAATTGATATTGGTTTTTAAAACGATATAAGGCAATATAATTCTTAGAAACTTACATTAACAAAAGTTCAAGAAACTATCTGTTACCATTTTAGACAATGTTTTATAGAATGTACTAATAAGGAAAAATTTATAGGCCTAAACCAAATGAACAATTCTTGAAGAAGAGAGTATAAACGACCATTCCAAAAAATAAAACTAAATGGTAATTAGAGCTTCCTTTTAGATGACATGATGAAAGCTAGATAAGTAATCGAGAAAATTATTGTGTGATATTAAATTTCCAAAATATTATCTTCCATTTTAAATGATACTAGTAGATAGCCTGTCAAAAATGACGGAGAATGAGAATTTTATTCGTTTTTTTAAGAAAGATGTTACCTTTTATTTAAAAATCATATCCAATTTATATTATTTTTAACCCCCCTCCCTCCCCATTTAGGTCAAGTCTAACCAATGTCATTGAGTCCAACCCATTAGGACTAAGAGTGGAAACTATTTTTTGAGTCAAAATATATTTAAATGAGCTTTTACTCAATATCAAAATTCTTTGTAAATATATTTCTGATTACATAAGACTAACATTTAACATTAAAAAATTTCAAGCCAGGTCCAAGCTCATAATATTTGGAAAAAATTTCCAAGCGTCCAAGACCTTATAATTTAAAAAAAATTTCTTAAGCCTAGCTCAACCCATAATAATTTTGAAAATTTTTTCCTAGCCCGGCCCATAATATTTTGTAAAAAATATTCCCCAAGTCAGGTGCAAGCAAATATTAATGTTGAGGAATATTTCCCAAGCCCAGTCCTACCCATATTAATTTTCAAAACTTTTTGCCAAACCCGGATATAAAATTTGGTAAGGGCTATCTATATCTTTATGTTAAGTACAAAAAAATGCTATCTATTTAAATTACAAAAATGCCATTCAATAATGAAACATATATGCAATTTATTTATATATTTTTTAAGAAATTTATTTTTCTTGCCATATAAATTTAGGTAATTTTTTTAAAAAATGATGAGGATTAATTATATTTTGTGTCTGATAAAATTAAAAGCAAATCGTTTATGACATTTTAATTTTTGATGGAAAAAGCGACAAAATAAATCTGGGCAGTCGTTTGCAGAGGAAATAATTCATGTATAATATTATCCCATTTAAGGTTGTAGGTGAAAGTAATGAATAATGACGGATTACCAAAGCAGTGTACAACACCCATTGCGTGCTGATAAAGCTGAGGTCTTGGGTACTGGTAAAAGAAGAACGCAAAATGATATTTCTGCCAAAGTGTCAGTCTTGGTATCCCCCTCTAAAATAGAATCATGAACGACATTGTCAACTCAACCATAAAACGGTCGTAAGTATTGTTATAAAGGCCATGACAAAACTACCGCATATTTTCCCATTAATAATGCTAATGAAATTGACCGCACTACACCTTCACGTTTGAACATCCCTCTAAATATTCATGAAAGTTCCTCAGGGAATCGGATAAAGTATTATTTATATTAACTCCTAGTGAGGTGAATGATAGTGGAATTAAATGCTTATATTTGTTAAAAAATTAGGCAGAGGTGGCATAGGGATTGTGGTAGTGGTGATAAAAAATATCATTTGGAGGCAACTGGGTGAATATAAAATAAACATATAGATATAAAACATTAGAAAAAAAACAAAATAAACCTCCAGAGGAGTTCACAGTTCCTTATTATATTGGCCACCAATAACTCTAGAACGGGTAAAGCGTTTGTTGAATCGCCATTTTTTTCTTTGCTTATCAATAGATTTATCATGTTTTGTAACAATGTGAGGGATTAAGATTGGGTTAGCCTAGACAAATAAATAAATCAGCCACAAATATAAATAAACTATTGTTGAAATTAAACAAACATTAATATACTGTAAACCTGTAGAGAAGTCAATATTTGAAGTATATTTCTAGTAATTGGGGGGCTATAATAAAAAAATTTTTTTTTTTTTGGGGGGGGGACTTATCAAGCCTATCATGTTCTTTTAAAGGTTTATTTTACATTTGTTCATAATTAATGACTGATATATCAATATTTGAACAATTATAAAGAGGAAATTAGATGGGGATAGTTAACTAAAGTAAAAACAAAACAATTCTTAAGTTAATTTTATAAGGTAGGATTAAAATAAAATACCATTCGGAGAGTCCAATTGGCAAATTAAAAAAAATAGGAAACTTGGGAATAGATATAGAATATTTTAAATAATATAAATACCGTAGTATGTATTTTGTTTTGGAATCCTAAAGATAGAAAACCCCGTTTTGTCTTTTTTATTGAGTTATACAAAAAAATTAGTAAGAATAAGGAGTATTGTTAAAAAGGTAGGATCCTTATGAATAAATTTAAAATTTTAATTGAATAAAAAAAATATTGTAATAGATATATCGATTTTTTGGATAGATATAAAATCCTATATAAAATTATTTATAATAAAAATAATGTACTTATTTTTTGGTGAATTATACAAAATAATCAGTATGGAGAATGGAGCAATTGTGGATCTGACAAAAGGCAAGCTTTTAAAAAAGTAGGATCCTTAAAAATTGATATATTAATTTAGTTAAATATTAAAAATATTGTACTTTGGATATTTTTCTGTTAGTTAGACAAAATATTTATAAGAGATAAAAGGACATATTGTGTGGCCCGGCAAAATGGATAGCTTTAAAAATACATAGGATGCTTAAAATAGATATATAAATTTATTTAAATTATAAAAAATATCATACTAAGTATTGTAAATGGAAAGAAAATAAGGAAATTAAAAGGGAAAGGAAGCTAAAGAGAATGAAATAGGAAATTAATAAGTTTGAGAAAGGTGAAGATAATAAAAGAAATTAAAAGGGAAGGAAAGGAAAATAGAATAGTATATTTTTAAAAATATTAATGTATTAAACCTGAAGAGGAATCAATATTAGGTTCAACTCTCTAGAAAGAGTGGGAATTTCATCAAAAGCTAAAATTGATGTATTCTAAATGTAAAAAAAAATATAAGCATTTATAATTTAATCTACTTGAAAGAATTGAATGATATTTATTTTTTAATATTAGCCCTTGTAAAAACTCATTTTTTGGAAAATAAGGGTATGTGATTGTTTGATTTGTAAAAACTCATTTTTATAAATTAAAAATATTATTTACCCTTTCTTCTCAAAATGAATATGGGTTGAATTAATAATTGAATGATATTTAATTTTTGATATTATAAATTGAAAAATATTATTTACCAGATTATAGTTGCTTTTTATTTGAGTCTTGCTTTCTTGGATTTTCTTCTCAAAATATTTCACCTATAAAAAAAGTAAATAAATAATTTTTTTTATAAATTATAAATATTATTTACCAGGATATAATAGTTGCTTATATTTGAGTCTTGCTTTTATAAAAAATAAATAAATTAATAAAAATAAATAAATACGTAACAATGACATGACGTAGCGATGGCATGACGTTGCGATGACATGACGTTGCGATGACATGACGTCACAATGACGTAGTGAGGACATCGGAAAATTATAATATAGATATAAATGACTACACATTGACCATTATTGTTTATCTAAATTATGCTATCAAATGCTCTCAGCAGCTGTAGTAATAATCTTAAATTACATAGCAACACAAATAATAGACGCTGGTTAATTTGCAGTAATAGCCATGACACTCACGATGTAAACTAATATCATAATTTAATATGTTGGATAAATTGATAAAATAAAAACACCAAAAATCTTTGGAAGAAATAATTATGCAAATATATTGAAGCCTGAAATTATTTACACGGCAAGGATGCCATATTAGAAGTGGAATATTTTCTAAATATAAAATAAGGACCAGAAAGATATGATGAAACAATTAAGATTTTATATATTGTCGCACCACCTCTAGTTGGTATATTATATCTTAAAATAATAGTAGTTTGTAATAATATCAAAATATATAAAAATTTGACTCAAACTGTTTTTCGAAAAAAAAAATAGCTTTCCTAAAAACACTTAAAAAAAGAGAAGAAAAGATATCAAATTTATTACATCTATTGTTGTATGGATAATAAAATGTTTTAAACTTTTAAAGTTTTTATAAACTAAATAGATGGCGTTAAATACTTAAATGCAAATTGTTATTATATTTATTATCAAAAGCATTTATATAAAATTCATTATAATATTAACTGTAATATATTATATAACTATCAAAAACGTCTATAAAAGTGGCATTTTATGTAATATTTTATAAACAACTGTATATAATAGAGCCTTATAAACTATACTAGTAGAAAGCCCGTCAAAAATGACGGGGAATGAGATTTTTATTCATTTTTTACGATAGATGTCATGCCAGGTTTAAGCTCACAATATTAGGGAGCATCCAAGATCTTATAATTTTAAAAAAGTTTATCAAGCCCAGCTCAACCATTAATAATTTGTAAAAGATATTCCCAAGTCAGATGCAAGCTAATATTAATTTTGAGGTTCCAAACCCAGTCCTACCCATTATAATTTTGAAAATTTTTTCCCGCCTCGGAGATAGTTAAATTTTTAATATCATCACATGAACGGTAAACAGCGTCTACATGGCCGGGGGGGGGGGGGTAGGAGACAAATGCCTCCAAAATATATTAGCATTTTTGTAGGTAGGTATCGATTTTAAGGGGTTGATATTAATTTTTTGGGGGTATGCATTATTTTTTTGGGGGTAGGTATTGATTTTTGGTGGGTAATTTTTGATTTGAATTATAATCTTTTTTTAATCCATTAATTGATACGATTATGATGGTTATCGTTTGATTTTCTGAAAAGTGTCAATTAAAGTAAAGATATTTGTCAATTAATAAATAATATAAATTTTCTTTGTCAACGATTTTCATTTAGCATTTTATCAAGTTAATATTTACACATTTCCTATTTGGTACTTTTCTTAGAGGTTAATATATTTATATTATGTTTTTTAATAAATTTATAGATTTTAGCAGGATAAATTTTAGGTAATTTTTTGAGTCATGCATAAAAACATATATCAGCAAGCAAAGAATAATAAAAAACATAATATGTAAAAAATTATATTATAATAATTATTTCTTTCTAGATGCCAAGTAACAAAACCATATTTAAAGTTAAGTGTAATATTAAAAATTGCAAAACTTTTAAAATAAGAAGTGACAAGATACATGAACATTATAAACATAAACATCCTCATGTCAAGCCAGCTGATATGAAATTTACAAAGGTAGCCATCAAAAGAGATAATAATAATTGGGTATCTTTAAATTGTGATATTCCATATAATATCACAAATGGAGTTGAAACCCAGTTGCAAAGACAATAACATCTTACTTCCAAAAAGTAATATTTTTATTTATTATTGTAACTATAAATTTGTGAATTAATAGAAACTGATTTAAAATTTTACCAGAATAATATTAATATTAAAGTAGTCAGGGTATAGAGAAAATAAATTATATATATTATTATTTAATGTTTTTTAACTGTTTATCACACTATTTTTATATCTATTTATACTTTATAAAGTTCAATTTAACAATATGTTTAATAAGTTAATAATAATAATTTAAAACCAAAGTATTAAAAAAACTTATTAAGTTAATATAATGTAGTAAAATAAGGTAATGTTAATTTCTAGGAATTTTTAAATTTAAATCTTTTCATCTTTAATTGAATTAAGACTTCAAATTCTTTTACTTTTTTTAAATATAAATCTTATAAAATATGATTTGGAATCAACTATTTTCAAAATGTTATGAGTTTCATCCCCTTTATTTACATTATGTGTTATATTAGGTATGTTTATTATCATTGTTTTATTTAGCTATTAGAATATCTTTAGATAATATACTTTCATCATGAATTTCACAATTTTATTTATACTTAATATTGTTTTTATTTTTATAGTCATTATAATATTGTTTTATGATTTCTTCATCTGATCGCAGTTTTATATTAATCTGCATCTATCATGCCTATGAATCTTTCAAGTATATTTTAAAAATGTTTTTACATGATCTAACAAAGTCATATTGATGTTTATGATTATTGCGTTCAAAATATGTGAATTCCCTTTGTATTCTACATTCACTTGTGCTTTACCTATTACTTGTATCATCTTTCCATTGTAACCTGATAACTTTATGTTGGACTTCATAATATTTTTAATACCTGTTTTCTCAATCATGTATTCATGTAGAATTAAAACATTTATTAAAAACTTAATTATAATGTAGTTAAAAAAAATTATCATTTGCCTAAAAATTTATTAAAAATATAGTTATCATAAGGAAAGAAATTAAACTCCTCTTTATTTATAGAAAATCTCAGTTATTGAAGATTCACAAATTGTATTATCTCCTCATCCAATCCCCAGTTCCAGTGAGGTGTTTACTTTGTATGATGAGGTATTTAATTTAAATACGAATTATATGATAACTTTTGAAAGAAACAAATTATGATTATGAGGTTAATTATATATTTCCAACCTTTATTAAAAACTTAATTATAATGTAGTTAAGAATAAAATGACCATTTGACTAAAATTTTATTAAAAATATAGTTTTTCATAAGTAAACAAATTTTACTCTTTATAGCAAATCTCCAATATTGAAGATTCACAAATTGTATTATCTCCTCATCCAATCCCCAGTTCCAGTGAGGCGCTTACTTTGCATGATGAGGTATTTAATTTAAATACGAATTATATGATAACTTTTGAAGAAAATAAATTAGGACATTTAAATATTTCCAACATTTATTGATTAACTTAATTATAATGTAGCTAAGAATAAAATGACCATTTGGCTGAAATTATATTAAAAATAGATTTTCATAAGTAAACAAATTATACTCTTTATTTATAGCAAATCTCCAATATTGAAGATTCACAAATTGTATTATCTCCTCATCCAATCCCCGGTTCTAGTGAGGCACTTACTTTGCATGAGGCATTATATTTAAATAAAATTTATATAATGACTTTTGAAGGGAATAAATTATGAGGATATTCAAAGTCCAAGTCTTATTCAGCTATACAAAAAAAAGGAACCAAATGACCCTTTTCACTTTATATTATTTAGGATGACAAATATTTTGATAAATTTCATAATTGCTGTAGGCCCTTGTCAGCCATGTACAAATAAATTTCAATATCCTGTTACTAACAAGAGGTTTTAAATAATATTTATTTTCATTAATTTTTACCCATCCATTATTTCTATACCAATAAATTTTTTTTTACTTTTTAAACAGGAGCATGAATATAACCTATTATAGAAAGGTTAATATAGATGGTTCCCTCAACCCCAGAAATTGGCTATCTTATAGCACTACTTTAGACAAAGTCTTTTGTCTATATTGTATTATGTTTGGTGGCCCTAAGTCCAATACTTTTTGGACTCAACATGGGGTAAATAATTGGAAAAACATAAAGCGTGACTTAGAGAGACACGAAGCATCTTCTCTTCATAAAGATTGTGAATATGCAAACATGACTTGGCTTGCAAATAAACGCATTCAAGATCATTTGCTATCAAATAAGCTTGACATAATCATGGAAAATCGTAATATAGTTCATAATATTATCAATGCCATTATGTACCTTATAAAATGTAATATAGCCTTTTGGGGTTCTAATTCGAATGAAGGTAATTTTATGTGTCTCATAAAATTAATGGCAAAAACGGTTCCAACTTTACGTGCATACATGGATAACAACGAAAAATTGCAGAGAAAAAAATCAGATAAAATTTCGAGACCTTATATAAATTTACTGTCATATGGCCACGTGAAAAAAATAACTGAAATTATTAAGATAAAAATAACAAAAAGCATTATTCAAACAATTAAAGAGAATCGTGCCTATAGCATCATATTAGATGGAACATATAATGTGTCTAAAAAAGAATGCATAGCTTTGCTTGTACGGTATATAGAAGATGATCTGCATCCACATCCTGTAGAAAGGATCATACATGTTTTTACAACATCAGAAACCACTGGGGAAAATATAAAGAAACATGTTTTTTCTAAGTTAAATGATCTTGGTCTTCCTGATTATTTGGTTGGACAAAGTATGGATGGTGCAGGGAATATGAGAGGAGTATACAAAGGAATGCAGGCTTTAATATTGAAAGAGGCTCCAAAAGCCATCTATATTTGGTGCCATACACATCGGCTAAATTTAGTAGTTGCTCATGTTTGTGGATGCAAAATTGAAATGAAAAAGGCAATGGGAATATTAGATGAGTTATATAATTTTATGAATGAAGTTAGACGTCAAGGTGTGTTTGTTAAATATCAAATGAGAAAGTCCAAGAAATCTCTTAAAAGAATTAAAAACACAACAAGGTAAATAAAATATTTTTAATGAAACTTGAAACTTATATATTTTCAGAAATTGGTCATCATCCTACAAATCTGTAGAAATCTTTTTAGATGTTTATGAACATATTTTAGCATCATTAGTTGAATTAAAAGATTCTAATGACCCAAGCACCTCTTCCATTGCCGATGGGTTATTATCAAGAATTAAAGATGAAAATTTTATATTAAGTCTTTTTATTTTGAAAGAAATATTGAAATGTACACATGAGGCTTGTATTGAAATGCAGGCAGTTGGTAATGATTTGGCTTTGGTAACCAAATTAATACAACATACAAAAAATAAATTACAAAAACTAAAAGGTTAATATTAGTTACTATTTTTATAAATAATTTTAAAATATAGCTAATGGAGACAATATATTTTTAAAATTACTTTCCTTATCTAATAGTTTTTTGAAAAAGAATAATGTAATAACTGATTTGTATAATATGAAATCAATATTCAAATTGGATCAAACAGAATTCAATAATTATGTTGAACAAAAAAAAAACAAGTTGAATAAATTAAAAAAATTTAAATTATTATTTATTATTATAGATATAGAACGGAAATATTTTTCCCTGTTCTAAATGCAATAATTAATCACCTAAATGATCGATTTAATTATGATTGTTTAAATTTTTTATCACAGATATCCATTTTTACTCCCGCTGGAATTATGGATAATGAAAAAATAGAAGGATGGCAAATATCCGAAATTTGTAATACTTATCAATTGGATGTCCAAAACATTGTTGATGAATATAATGATTTTCGCTCTTTATATTTGGAGTCTCAATAAATCATTTTTTGCGAAGATCTTTTAAAAGTTAAAAAGAATGACGCGTTATATATTGATGAAAGTAATTTATTGATATTTTATTTGTAATTGTGTATAATTAAAGGTATTGCAAACGATCAAATTACCAAAGAAAATATCAACAGCGAAATCATGACCAAAATAAAAAAATGGATAAAATTTTCTTTTATATTACCATACCGACTTTTAAATCAATTAAGTTCTTATTCAAATTTAAATTTATTATATAAATATTTATTAACCCTTCCTACAACTTCCTGTTCAGTCGAAAGAGCCATGAGTAAAGTAAAAATTAACAAAACTCGAATGCGGAATAAAATTTCGGACCCATTTTTGGAAAATTTACTGTTAATATCCAGCGAAATTGATGTTTTTGAAAAATTTACAATTGATGATATTATAACACAATTTGCTTTAACATCAATAAGGTTATCCAAATTATTAATAAAATAATTAATGTATCTTTTTCACAGCGAATATATAGGCTTTTAAATAATGTATATTTAATTTAACATTTTATAATTTCAATGCAAAATATACTATAATTCATTTTATTCTAATATTTTATATAATAGCTCTATTTACAATACATGTTTTTAATTATGTGGAATCAAGCTAAATATACCTCTTTAAATTTATTCGTCTTATATTTTTTACAATATTTTAGATCTTTTTCATAGAAATATTAATATGTTATCTCATTTAATTCACTTATATATATTTTATGAAAATAAAGTGAATACTAAATTATGAAAAGATTGCATTATTTAAATAAAAGTTCATTATCACTTACAAATTTTTAAATTTTTTTTCCCTAAATAGGCTTGAAAGATTGTAAATAGAATTATGTTGTAAGGTTATAAATGGTGGCAGATAAGATTTTTTAAATAAAATCACTATACCATCGTAGGTCTATAAATTTCGCGGCCGAAGGCCGCAGGATTTTTTTTAGGTGGGTATGGGTAGATTTTGGAGGGGTTTGCCTCCATCAAATTTTCTGCCATGTAGACGCTGACGGTAAATATCTGATTTACCAATTAGTCTAATATGGGAAAAAAACATGTAAATTCCGTATTAAGGGAAATTGGGAAGGCCTGGGCAACCATTTATTAGAGAATCATGACAAATAAAATATTTGTAATATGATCAATTAAAATTATATCTAAAAAATATATTGTTTATTATATAGGGTTATTTTTGTTTTTCAGATAAATTTAATGTATGTCTTGCATTTCTGAAATAATTTTAAAGAATTTGATAAGTGATATATGTTGTAAATTTTAGATTAGTTAAATTTGTACTTTATATTTAATTTGCATAAAGAATTCTTTTGGATTTATTATTATAACGCGTGATAAAAATATTATATTTGAATAGTTATGAATATTAGTTATAAAGAAGATTGAAAAAAGTATAAAAAGGCCAATTTTTACTATACAAAAAGATCTTTTATAATTATTAACTTTGTTGTATTTTATATTTTGTATTTTATTTTTATTAATCTTTTTTATTATTTTTACTTTTATAATTTTGTTAATTTGATAATGTTATAATTTTGAATAAATGATTAAATTATGATTTTACGAACTTAATTTTTTTAATCTTTAATTTTTAATTTATATTAATTTATTTTGATTATGTTTTTATCTTATTATTTAATAAAGATTTAGTATCATTTTAGTTCTAACCTTTCTTATTTGACGAATATTATAGAAAAGTATATATAATCGAGGATATTAGTCTGATTTAGTATCATTTTAGTTCTAACCTTTCTTTATTTGACGAATATTATAGAAAAGTATATATAATCGAGGATATTAGTCTGATTTAATATCATTTTAGTTCTAACCTTTCTTTATTTGACAACGGTTCTAATCACTCAATCCTTAAAAAAACATCTAGATGTTACATTAGTGATGGAGAGCGGAGGAGACCGGCCCTTTACAATAATTCAGTCTAATTAACTCTGAAAGGAGATTTTAAATAAAGGGGAAAGGGAATGTATGAAATGACGATCGACACAAAGACAAAGAATTAGGTCAATGAAACATGGTGTCAATATCAATGGTCGTAATTCGAAAAAGAATAGAATTAGTCGTTTAATTAAAAGGAATTCGTCACAAGAGATCGTTATATGTACAAGTGATCGATGTAGCTAAAAGAAATTCGTTATAAATTTTTATTAAAGATATACGGTTAACAGTTATTTAAGTTGATAATATTTAGCAAAATATCAGGTTGTTGATTAACCAAAATCTTCATAAAGAGATACGGCTTTTTGTCATTAGAAAATTTATGCCGCAATCGAGCTCAATTTCGGATTTTTTATTTTGGATCAAAAGATACAAGAAATCATTATCGTATAAGAGATCTTAAGACAACGTGGATATCTGGACAAGCGACTAGGTAGAACAAGTGGTCAAGACTTTATGCTACAATCGTTAATCGTTGACCAATATAGCCAATTATTACCGAGACTTTAGTCTAAGATACGGAAATCGACAATCATAGGAACAAGAATTCGTGAAAACAATCGTTTATCGCAGACCAATCAATTGTTTATCGAGATCAGTGGCGTAGCTAGGAATTTTCCTTAGAGGGGGTTCATACATATAAAATCCTGGGGGCTTCGCCCCCAGACCCCTTTAACGGGCCTTCGGCCCTTTTGCCCGGCCTTCGGCCGGGTTTATCTTAAAAATCATAACCACATCTTCGACAATATATATAAATATTTTTAAATGCATGAATAATGTTATTATAATTTAGTAGATAATGTTATTATAATTTAGTAGATAATGTTATTATAATTTAGTAGATAATGTTAATATAATTTAGTAGATAATGTTATTATAATTTAGTAGATAATGTTATTATAATTTAGTAGATAATGTTATTATAATTTAGTAGATAATGTTATTATAATTTAGTAGATAATGTTATTATAAATTAGTAGATAATGTTATTATAATTTAGTAGATTATTCTCAATGACTTTATAATAATACTACCCAGAATAAATTCAATAGTAATATAATATCCTTTCACAAACATCAAAACCAGAAAAATATAAATATTAATGGTATTTATTTGATACAAAGTCACTTTTAAATCTTTTGAACGTATAATCTAAAAAAAAAATTTGCTCTGGGAGGGGTCCAAACCCGAAAACCACCCCCGTAGCTACGCCACTGATCGAGATAAAGAGCTAATCGTGGATTACAAGAGAATGATAGAAAACACGCTACGATAAATTGTAAAAAAAATTAAGACAGACTAGCAAAAAACAAGAGATGAAAAAGAAACTAGATGTCATCGATAATCGTTCATCAATCGTAAATAGTGGAAGACAGGCGTGTATCAAGTTCGTCAGTGGCCTACAGAGATAAAAAGCTGATCGTTGCACAGGGTGACAAGCGACAGAAGATAGAATTCAAAAATTTCAAGCGACAATCGGATACAAACGGTCGTTCGAAACTAAGAATACTAGACAAGAGTCAGCCTTCGTTAGAACTTAGAAGACAGCAAAGATTAAGAAGAATAAGTCGAGATCGAAAGAAGATTGATTATTCGCTGAATGTTGGGTCTAATTTAAGTAGGGAGGTGTTGTAAATTTTAGATTAGTTAAATTTGTACTTTATATTTAATTTGCATAAAGAATTCTTTTGGATTTATTACTATAACGCGTGATAAAAATATTATATTTGAATAGTTATGAATATTAGTTATAAAGAAGATTGAAAAAAGTATAAAAAGGCCAATTTTTACTATACAAAAAGATCTTTTATAATTATTAACTTTGTTGTATTTTATATTTTGTATTTTATTTTTATTTTTATTAATCTTTTTTATTATTTTTACTTTTATAATTTTGTTAATTTGATAATGTTATAATTTTGAATAAAGAATTAAATTGATTTCGTGATTCCTAATTATTATTAATTTCTTTTTTATATATATATTTGTTTTCTATTTTTAGGTCTCAAAAGCCTTACTTTCAACATTCCTAATTATTATTAATTTCTTTTTTATATATATATTTCTTTTTATATTTAGGTTTTG